TAGAAAAATGCATTTGTTCTAGAATTCTTTTAAACCTTTACCCAGGAGAAAAAAAAGGATATTACCAACTGAGATTGATCAGTTCATCTAATCACAGATCATCAAAAACAGTAGTGTTCCTGCCTAGGAGTTTTAGGAAGTTGTTTTGTACTGCAAGCCGAAAAACTGAGCTCCAAATGAGCACATTCAGCTTTGGAAAACTATGTTATTTAACCTAGGCTATTTTGTTTTCAAATTTAGACGTTTAAAAATAAAATACTTTGTACTGTAAAAAAAAAAATGCCCATGCTGGCATCACTGATAAGTAGTGCAATACCATGCACCTTGGTGCCAGTGGGCTCCAGAGCCTCTGCTGTCTGCTCTGCTGCCTTCTGACACACAGATTGGGCTTTGGTGCTGCAGCTGCTGTGCAGAAGTAGTTCCTGTGGCCTCTTCTCTCTATCCATTTACCTGGCTTCATTTTTTTTTTATACCATGTATCTCCGACATGATATTCTAGATTTATTTGCTTCTTGCCTTTCTCCTTAATTGGAACGTGAGATCCAAGACGGCAGGGATGCAGCCCTGTCTTTCTACAGCTGTTTACTGTGTTCTTAGAACAGTGCCTAGGACACAGTAGTTGCTCAACAAACACTGTAAGATCAGTACTAATCTTAATAACCATCACATGTGTAGCATGTGCCAAATGTGTGGCATGTACTAACTTTCTCGATCCCCAGGGCTAATGTTGTCCCCACATTAGAGATGAGATAGTAACAGCCACAGACAGCAAGGAACTTGCTCAAGTTTGCATGGCTCAGAGGAGCCAGAGTGAGGGTTTTTTTTTTTTTTTTTTTAAAGTAGGCTCCACACCCAGCATGGAGCCCATTGTGGGGCTTGAACTCATGAGCCTGAGATCAAGACCTGAGCAGAGATCAAGAGTTGGATGCTTAACCGACTGAGCTACCCAAGGCACCCCCAGAGTAAGGATTCTGATGCAAGTACCTTGGCTCCAGAAATCAGATCCTTAAACACTGAGCTGTATGGCCTTTCATGAATGAATGAATGAATGATTATTTAAAACAGATGTATACGTACTATAAAAATGTACTTAGTAGCGCATTTCAAAGTAAATAGTTAATAAAAATAAATGTTATAAATAATGAGGTAATAGCTTTCTCTTATTAGGAGACTGGTATCTGGGAAAAAATATATTTTAATATATAGGGTCAGGTTCCTGGGAGATATGTTATTACAGCATCACATGTAATCTATTGGTTCATAAATGAATACTGGATTTTTAGACTAGTAAATCTGTCTGATATGTGTTCCAAACAGCATATCAGACATCTTTATCATCATCCTCATAAGATATACTTCCTTCTTAGGGGAGAAATTATAACAATAAACAGATGTTACTTTTCATCATAATTCATGTATTGGCCTAAAAGCTCAGTTCAATGGATAAGACTTATATACAGTTGGAATTTGGAAACACAGTTGAACTGGAATCTTTCAGAGCCATTACCTCACACTGAACAAATGTTTTGGCTTTTGCTTTCAAATTTAGTACTTTGTCTGAATGATGAGGTTGAATTAGACCATAAACTCATATACTGCTAGGTTTATACTTTGAATTAAGGTACAGGCAAGTTACAAGTATTGGGAAACAGTCTGCAGAGAAGGAAAAAGGCCAGCAGCATGAAGTTAAATTTGTTGAATCCTTCCCAGACAGAGATACAAAGAGTAAAGTGATCCAAAACCAAATTTGCCTAATAATTAAAGTTATTTATGATATTTAAAATATTAATCTGTTTTCATCCATGTTCAAGTGTTGGTTCTTTCATTTATACTTTTTCCTTCTGTATGCTCAGCTGTGGAATCAAACCCCTTTGCCAAATGCAGGTGGTGGATTTGTGTGAGAACCAGGGAGCCAATTAGGGTGTTGATTTTGAAGGTGTTTATTCTTCATAATTTTTAGTGGCTTTAAGTGTGAACATATGCCTTGATACAAAATGTGTTCAAAGGAAGTACTGAATGCATGTCCAGTAGGCTTTCTGACCTCACAGTGCTTGTTAGGGGATCAGTAGATGCTGATGATGGAAGTGAAGGTAGACTGGTTCAATGAGATAAATAGAGTTGACATAAAAGTTTAATTACTGTTCAACTTATTCATTTTCTTTTCCTCTTCTGTCATATGCCCATAGTAAGCCCTTTGTATTTTTAGCCTGTTTATGCTTGCCTCTGTTATGGCATGATCACATTATTGATAGAATTTTCCTTTAACCTTTTGTTTGAAATAATAGTATTGTTGGGTGAATAGGTATCATTTAGATTGCCACCAGACAGTGCTGTATGCATGAGTGCCTTTACTATAGCTTTTATTCCAAATGGCTCTTATAAGGAGGCCTAAATCTGGTGGTGGTAGATAGAGCAATTTTATATAATTCCAAGTAGTAAAAACTGAGATGAGATCATTTGATGGAAAATTTTATTGTGACCTTTTAGATCTTAGAAGTGCTAGTATATACGTACATGTATTATTTATATGTAGTATATATGTACATTTATACACATGTATATAAATACACATATATACACACATATACATATATACATACACACATATATATACATATATATATATATATATAAAACAAGAATAAAAGCTCTTGGGCCTTTTTGAGTATTAGTGGATGAAAATTTATCTACAATGAAATGACCTTGGGTTAATCAAGAGTTAAGACCAGGTTTTGAATGCCAAGGTAGGCATATTTTTGAGATAAAGGTATTCACACACCTTTGGAGATAGTTATCAACACAGCGCACTAGTTTTGAAATGTTTCTATTTGGAGATAAATGGGTACAGAAAACTTGATTGCCGTTTTGTGTTCACTGACTGAAGCAAATATGAAACCCAGGCATATGATTTAGTAAACAGGAATGGAGATAGGGATGATTATAATTCCTTAGTAATCCACAAAGTTTATTTTAGAGTAGAATTTAACTCCTTTGTGCTAAGACTTTGCCTTTTTACTTTTATTGTCATGACAAGTTATTCATTAAGTGTGTCTTGGCATCCTTGCCAGGAAGGTGCCCTCACAGCCTTTCCGTGATACCTGTTGACATCACTTACATACTTCTTATAACCAGGAAGGGTAGGATTTGTATGGAAGAAGAATTCTGAAGTCTATTTATTTTTCTGCAAGAAACTTTAAAACTTAACTATGTTTTAACTACATTAAAGAATTTTAAAAGCATAGATATAATACTTTGGTCATCTTGACATAAATTTTTTCATTTTTCTGGTTTCTTTCCAGTCTCTGTTCATATATGAATTTGTTTTACAAATTGGGAATCATGTGTTTTTCCACTTAACATAAAGACATTTCCATGGTTACAAAGTCTTCATTATTATACTTTCAATTGTTACAGAATAGGTCATCTTTTTTTTTTTTTTTTTTAAGTAGTCCCCATGCCCAGCACCCAGCGTGGAGCCCAGTGCAAGGCTTCAACTCACAAACCTGAGATCAAGACTTGAGCTGAAATCAAGAGTCAGACGCTTAATGGACTGAGTCACCCAGGCGCCCCTTACTTATTTTCTTGTAAAACCTTTTAAAGTATTTTGCTATGTTTCATTTCTAGCTAGTTCATATTAGCGTGCCATAATTATTTGAAAATTTTATGCAACTATTAATATCATTAGTTTTCTTCATACATGAAATTTGTTAATATTATTAGTTTTCTTCACACGTGAGTTTTGTTCTCATATAATCCCTTATGAATATACATGTATCTATGTACGTATATATACACATATTCATATATATATATATATATATATATATAGCCATTTCTTAAAAGTCAGTGAAAATTACTGCATAATTCATAGTCAACAGCAAGAAAGCCTGGAATTATATTGAGTATACCGAGTAACTAACTGTTAATTCAGCCTTTCAGCTTTTTTTCTCTTTGACGTGTCATACTGTTAGTCTGATTTAACCTTTGATTACTATTCTTGCATTTCATATTTATACATGAAAGTTAAATACTACATAAAATAAAGACATGAGGCTTTATTTGATAGTTCCCAAGATTTATATTGAAAACCATTCTCCTGAAATAATGAGCTTATACAAACTTAAAGGCTGGTATGGAATCTACATTAGTATAGTAATGGTTCAGATATTTAGGCACTTATTCTTAATGTCTTTTGTCTGCATCAGTTACCAAGAAATAGAATAAAACACAGAATATACTAAAGTTTGTTAGGGTGATATTCAAGCATATTACTATATATCTGACTCTGGGCTAGTAATAATGTGAAATATATTGAATAGTGCTTCAAAGCTAACATTCATAGCCTTAAACATATTAATCTCTCTCTTTGTGTATATGTATGCATATTTATTTAACTATAGATGTGTATTATTTTTGAATATTAGTTCATCCTATACTTATAAATTTTGAATTTTCTATTATTACTATCATTGTTTGAATACCTAAGGGTTATATTTCTAGTATTTAGAACCGAAACTCTTCATTACTATAGTGTTTTAGTTTTTTAAGGGCACTTAAATTTCTTTTTACAGGAGATAAATTGGACATTCTATATACCCTCTTGTTTAGCTGAAGTGTTTTATTTTCCATCTGCTACCTGTGGTGTGTAAACAGTGAAAGTTGTTTCTGTGCCTCTGCATTATCTCTGACTACTTCTGGGCTCTTCCCTTCATATCACCTTTGCAAGTCTGCAAATTTCAGGTCATCTACTGGTATCATCAAAGGCCATTCTTGGAGGCCCTCAGTACTGTTTCATGCCTGGGTGATACAGAGATTCTGTGGATTCAGCCAACATCCCACATTTCTAGTATCTCCTGAGAAGGAAAAAGAGAGTAGTTAGGAGAGTAAAATGCCAGGTCTCTGAAAATACCTGCATTTAAAATTGAGTCTTTTTTTTTCTTTAATTGAAGTGATCGTATTGTATTTTTATTTATTTCTCCCCTTTGATAATGTTTCTTTAGGAACTCCCTAGAGTCCTCCTTCTTCATCAGCTGTCTAAGCAGGAAGGTGCATGGACGATACTTCCACTGTTACCACAGTATGTTTAATTTGAAATGTGTGAATTTTGATGTTTCTGCCTGAACACTTCTCTGTTCCTTACCTTTCTTACTAAAAGTCAATAAGTAAATTTGAACTCTGTTTTTATGATTACTACATTACCCAAATTTCTTGATTCTTTTAATCATGAATGGCTTCTATTTTTAAATATGTTGCTTTCTTAAAAGCTAAAAGGTTGATAGGTCTGATATTTATATTTGAAAATAATCTACTTTTCTGGACTGGTGTCATCATGGAGAGAATTAACTTTAAGAACACTAATTGTTTTTTAAACCATTAATATCTTGCTTTCCCATAATCTGAAACTATCCATTGAAGAAAAATGTAGGGGAAATTAATCTAGATTTCTTACAATCTTCTATGTCTTTCATCTGTTTCTTGTCTGTCAGTTTTAAACCTTTATTATAAAATCATTTTACAGAAGTGATTACTATAACCTGTTTCTCTTTGTCAGCTTTTCTGTAACATATAGCAGAAATTCATCATGGATTTTCTTCTGTGAAGAAGAAACAAGGATACAAATTCCAGAACTCTTAGAAACACTCAGAAGATATGACCCATCAAAGGTGAATACAGTTTTAATACCTGTATTTATCCTTTGGGGGAAATGCTTAAAAGAAGATTTAATTTTGATGAAGAGGTTTTCCAATCTAATAAAAACACTTAATTTAAAATTAAAAAGAATGAAATAATAGTTGAATATCTAGAAGCAATGTTAAAATAATTCTTTTTGAGGTTTTTATAGCTTTTGGAGGGATAGAACCTAAAATGAATCATTTTTAAATGACAATCTATTTACATGTGTTAGCAATTTCAGAGAGGTAAAAAGCTATAATGTAGAATTAAGAAATAAGTTTAAATTGCTTGTCTCTCTTTATCAACAATAACCACATATTATTTTAGATGAGAAGTGTTTCTTGGTTGCCAACTGTTTATCAAGCACTATGATAGCAGAGGCTAGGACAGACAAGGATCTTGATGATGTGGATGGTACAGAATGGCAGGGAGAAAACAGACCATTAAGGGAGCAATGAAAAGTGAGAGGTCTTATAGTAAGGGAAACATAGGGTGCTGTCAAAGCACATAGCAGGGCATCAAACCTTACCTCTGAGGGTCACGATAGGAGGTGATCTTTAATCTGAGTCCTGTAGGATGAGTAAAAGTTAATCGGAAAGAGTGTTTTAAGCAGAGGGAACAAAGTTTGAAGAGGTGTGGGGGTAAGTGGTGCATCTCATATTAGAAGTTCAGTGCTACTTTCTGTATCCTTATCTTTCATATTTTCAGATTTTATTTTGGGCAGATGTGATGTAGCAATTGGATCTTTTATTTCTAAGTTTCTAGCACTGAACAGAGTACTTAACACTTAATATGTGGTCAATGAGTTTTTGTGAATGACTGATTAACCCTGTAATGTCCACTTTTTTGCTGGGCTAGCCCGTGTCTCAGGAGGATGCCCTAGAGATATGTCGAGAGTAATCAGGCTATTCATTTCTCTTGGAGAAGCCCAGGTTATACCCTGATCACCATATGGAATCCTTTAAGCTTGAAATAAGTAGACTTGGGCCCTTTCAGGTACCACTGGACACCTGCCCTACCCCTATTCTGGTGTCCACTCCAGAACTAAGTCAGGTTTATTGAGAATGTGGGGAAGGAAAGGTGGCTTCTGGGTGCCTGCTTGGTTGTTTGTTGATGTAGATAAATAATGTTGAGCGACAGTGATCATTCTCAAATACTGGAAAGTGTGTTACCTTAACAAAGCCACTGGTTTTGATGTTCTTTAAAAACTGTTAAGAGTCCATTATGATTTCTCTTTATGCTTTTGCTTTCTAGAAAGATACAGATATAATTGAATGAGAAGGTTGTTAGGTTAAAAAGAAAAATCCTTCAAAGGAGAGAAGAATTATGAATGTGTCTTATCCCATCTTTTCAGATGATGCTAACCAGCATCTATGTACTTTGGCCATGTTTTGTGTAAAACATTTGTTAGGCTGTTATGTTTCCTTTTGACTTGAGAAAAACTCCCAAATCCTTTTTACAATGTAGGAGTTTTAATCTCCTTCTAGTGTTCATTTCACCTGGAGATTATTTTTCCATTATCCATATAGCTCTAATTCTGTGCAGAAGATGGTGACTCACTGTGCTTTTTAATGAAAATTGGAATGATAAATTTAAAAGTTCAAAGCAAGTTCATGAAAAGCAAGTACAGAATAGAGGTAAAATGAGATGTTTTCCCCTCCTTTCTGAGCTCAACCTTTAAAAAAAAATCAAGGATGCTTTATTTCTTTTGAAACTAGCATTAGGAAATAAAGATTACATAATGTTCAAGTTAGCTCAAACTAGTGTGCTTCCCCCCCACCCCCACCATTTGAAATTTTAGAAAAAAGGTATAAAGTAAAACTGGCTTTGATAGTGATACAATAAACTATATTCAAATAATAATTGTGTAGTGTGTTAGAATATCAATCTTTTTTTGGATTCTGTTTTTTTTCCCCTTCACTCTGTTGTTCTTACTAATGCAAATTTATATTGTTACACAGTATTTTACATGGAAAATTTAAATCCTTATTAAAGTAGTCATCTTTGTTAAACTGCCTTTCTAGGTGATTTCTATAAATTTCTTATCTTGCTGAAGTCTTTCTTTTTTTTCCCCACTGTATGCTTTTAATATAAGTGTGCATTTGCTGAAATGTATTGACATTTTAATAGAGGTAAAACACAGGTGCTGGTAAAGAGTATTCTAAGATACTAGTAGAACATTGTCTGAATTGTTATTTTACAGTTTATCTTGATTGTAATTGTCTTAATTACAATTATGTAATTGTTTTTATTATATATTAAGAAAGTTGTTAAGAAGGATGAGGGAATGCCTCTTTCCACAGATTTTGTATAAATTTCTCCCTTAGTTTATTTTTTTATTTTTATTTAAAAAAAAGATTTTATTTATTTATTCATGAGAGACACACAGAGACAGAGACAGAGACAGAGACATAGAGAGAGAATCAGGCTTCCTGCAGGGAGCCGGATGTGGGACTCGATTACAGACCCCAGGACCATGCCCTGAGCCAAAGGCAGACAGACGCTCAGCCGTTGAGCCACCCAGGCATCCCTCTCCCTTAGTTTAGATAATAACCCCTTCCCCTCCAAATATTGGAAAACAGTCTTAACAATCTTAAACAATCTATTCCTTGGGTAATAGCTGGACACTGCCACTAGGAGTTAAAACGTAGAAACAGGTTCTGCATAAAATTATGTTTGCAGCAGGAAATTATAACAGTGAAGGATTAGCAAGCAATGTACTGAAAATCTCCTGAGGCATTTTTTTAAACAAGCTATATTGATATGGTATGTTAAATGTGATGATTTTCATATTCGGTAATGTTTAGCAGTTTGATAAAGTCCTATGTTACTGATTTTTTAAAAAGATCTTGAATTTCTCTCTTAAGCCAAAGCCATTTACCTTATAATTATCCCCCTTGCCCAGTGATGATTTAAAATATCCATAAAATATCAAGAGAATCAAGAGAATCATGATGTAGCTCTATACCCTAAGTGCACAGTTGTATTGATGGGTTGCACACAGGTTCAGTTATGACCTATTGGTGAATTGACCAAAACCAAGGGTCTGGGAGGTATTTGGGACAATTTCACAATCAGAAGAGAGAATATGTTGTCCTGCCTGTTTTTTTATTTTCTGATCAGGAACAGGGAGTGTGTTGGTGATGGTTGGATAACAGAGAAAATATGCAAAACTTTTAGAATTTAGGAAGCTTGAATGAAATTACTTTTTAGAGAAACTTCTCTAACAGGGTGGTTGCCATTTGAAGCTCTCCTGGGCTTGCTCCATTCATTTAACTAGTGAGCACTTATTACATGTTAGTTATTCTGGTGGGGATATAGCAGTCCATAGCAGCAAAATGGACAGTTTCCCTCCTAAGGAGGGGGATGTTCTCGTGACAGGGGGAGATAGGCAAGGAGCAAAAATGCAAACAGCGTCTGATGGTAGTAAGAGCAGAGCACAAAAAGAATGAGAGGGATAAGGGATAGATTGGGGGTGGGCTTACTATTCTGTACAGGGTATCAGGTCACTTTTGAGCAGAGTATGAAGGAACCCAGGGAGTGAGCCATGTGCTCCCTACTCCTGTACCAGACGGCTTACTCCATACCTCTGCTTGTCTAATCAGAACCCACATTCAACATATACAAGACTGAACTTAATGCGCCTTTCAAACCTCTCCCATCTTTAGTCTTCTTCATCTCAGAAATGGCAGCACAGTCTATCCAGTTGCTCAGAGAAAAAAACCTACAACTCATGATTGATTCTTCTTTTTCTCTCAATCCTATGTTGGCATATCTCATTGACTCCACCTCCAAAATATACCTTCTTCCATCCTCTCTCCATATTTATTACTGCCTCTCTGGTCCAGGCTACCATCATCTCTTGCCTTGAAAATTATTAGAGTCTCCTTGCTGGTCTCTTGGTTTCTACTCTTGCCATCCTAGTAATCTAGCCTCTTGGTAATTCAGATCATACCACTCATCTGTTCAGAAACTTCCACTGGTTTCCCATTGCAACTAAGATAGTTTCACTAGATTCAGCATTTTAGGTTGGCAGTGATTTTCTTCTATCACTGTAGAGATGTTCCATTGCCTTTTACATTCTATTGTTTCCATTGAAAATCCAACCATATGTCTTATTTTAATTCCTTTAAAAGAAATGTGTATACCCCTCTCCCCTCAAGCTACTTTTAAGATTTTCTCTATCTTTGGTCTTTTCAACCAACATATGCCGCTATGTGGTTTCCTCTGTACTTTATTGGTATTAATAGAGCTTTTTGAATCTATGGCTCGGTGACTTTTGTTAGTTCTGGAAGATTCTAAGCCTCTATTTTTTCAAATGTTGATTCAGTTCCATTCTCTTTCTCTTCCTATTCTGGCCTCCTAATTTCATATGTTTTAGACCTGATTCTCACTGTTTCTCATATTGCTTTAGTGCTCTTTTCTCAATTTTCCTCCTTTTGTTTTCTTTTTTTTTGTGTGTGTGTGTGTGTGTATCACACAATAGTGTTTACTGACTTACTACCTTCCAAGTCACTAAGCTTTCCTTGTTCTGTGTCTAATATCCTATTGAATTCCTAAGTTTGGTTATCACATTGGTCAGTTTTAGAATTTCCATTTGACTTGTTTTTATTTTTCTAGATCTTTGATAAAATTCTTCATCTTTTTACCAATTTCCTTAAATATATGAATTCTACTTATTTTTTTAAAGTTTTTTTTAATTTTTATTTATTTACGATAGTCACAGAGAGAGAAAGAGAGAGAGGCAGAGACACAGGCAGAGGGAGAAGCAGGCTCCATGCACCGGGAGCCCGATGTGGGATTCGATCCCGCGTCTCCAGGATCGCGCCCTGGGCCAAAGGCAGGTGCCAAACCGCTGCGCCACCCAGGGATCCCGTGAATTCTACTTATTTTTTTAATAACTGCAGTACTTATCTGTGTATCTTTCTATTTCTCATTTTTCTCTTTGCTTTTGTTCTGGTGCTGTTCCTTGGCATGCCTGGTAACTTTTTGCTAAATGCCAGATAGTTTACATGAAAAAATCAAAGAGGTGGTGGATGATATCGGTGCCTACAGGAGGATTTAATATTCTTCTAAGTTGTAGACCTTGTTTAGGTAGATCTATTTACAGACTGCCCTTACTTCTAGACCTCTTTCTTCCAGCAGACCCTGTACATGGGCCTTGGGCTCCCCAGTACCCCTGCTGAAGACTTTGATCAGCAGTTAGCCTCTCTCCTGCTCCTTTCCACTTGGTTCTTGATTCTTTTCTATTTTTTTTTCCTTCCCAGGCTAGGAGTTGAAAAGAAATCACATGCAGTATTTGGGGCTCACTTTTCTGGATCCTCTTAAATCTGGATCCTTCTAAGCCTCTTAAATCCTTAAATATCTTCTTGGCAGCCTCCAGCTCCAACCCTTCTCTCAGTCCAGCAAGGCTGTGGAGTCCCAGATGCTGCTTTCTGTGGTGTGCCCTTCTCTGCTATGGGAACAACTGGTAAATTCCTTGAAGGTAAAAGGAGGTGATTACAGTGTTCTCATAGATGGGCTTCTCTTCTCTCTTGGATATTTGCCCTCATCTACTATTTGTTTTTGTTTTCTGATGCCCTTAATTATTTGGTTTAAGTATTTTTCTCCAGCTTTAGTGCTTGTTCTCAGTGGGAGAGCCAGTCTGATCCAGGCTATTCTGTTGTGGCCAGAAGTGGCAGTCTTCCACTGCATTTGGAGTAAAGTCTACATTGCTCCCCACTGGCATCTGAAATCCACCCTGGGCCGTCTCCTGTCTGTCTCTTTTATACCATGTTTCCCCATATCCAGTATATTCTACCTCATTGGACTTCTTTTTCCATCAAATGTATCAAGCTTGCTTTCACCTTGGGACTTTGTAGTAACTGCCTTGATGGCTCTTCCCCAGATTTGTACCTAGCTGGCTCCTTGGTATTGTTTATTCTCAGTTCAGTTGTTAGCTCACGAGAGGTTTCTCTCTCTTTCCAGGGAAGTCCCCAGGCACTTGGTTTTATTTTTATCCTAGCATATTGCAGTCACCACCTGACCCTACTTTACTGATTTTCTATTTCCCTGCTATTGTGTAAGCTGCGTTCCCACCTGGTGTGGGATAAATGTCAAATGTGAATTGATAACAATAATAAATGTTAATCGAATGAATGAATAAATGAATAAGATAGACACTAATTCTGGAAAGAATTTTTCAGATTCTCCTTTGTAAACCTCAGTAGGGCATAAAGGAACACTTGTTTTCTTTGCCTTAATAGCATTTTGGTATGGAATTTTCTGTAAAATACACTTTTATATGTCTATGGCATAATGATGACTAATATTTTGCTCATCTTGTTGATAAACTAAATTACTCTCTTTGTAAAGATTATGTCATGTTCATTACCATAGAGCATTAATTATGTTTTTGTTAAAATTCTTTAGAAAGTAATAACCCATGCTAATTCTATATCACCCAGAGTACTTAATTAGCTAAAATTAATGATATGACTTTGTTTTGGGTCATATGTGAAATGGCTTTTTAAAGAAAGTGACATTTATTTATTTTCAGTTTTTATTTTTTTTGGATATACATTCAAAATACATTTTATTTTTATTTATTTTATTTAAATTCAGTTAATTAACATATAGTGTATTATTCATTTCAGAGGTAGAGTGCCACTGAGTGATTCATCAGTGTTTATTTATTTATTTTAAAAGATTATTTATTTATTTATTCATGAGAGACACAGAGACAGAGACACAGGCAGAGGGAGAAGCAGGCTCCATGCAGGGAGCCTGACACGGGACTGGATCCCAGGTCTCCAGGATCACACCCTGGGCTGAAGGTGGCGCTAAACCGCTGGGCCACCGGGTTGCCCACACTCAGTGTATGTCACATCAGGTGCCCTCCTTAATGTCCATCGCCCAGTTACCCCATCCCCTACCCCCACCTCTCCAGCAACCCCAGTTTGTTTCTTTATTATTTATTTTATTTATTTATTTTTTCCCAGTTTGTTTCTTATAGTTAAGAGTCTCTTATGGTCTGCCTCCCTCTCTAATTTTGTCTTATTTTTCCCCTCCCTTCCCCTATGATATTCTGTTTTGTTTCTTAAATTCCACATATGAGTGAAATAATAAAATTGTCTTTCTCTGATTGACTTATTTCACTTAGCATAATACCCTCTAGTTCCATCCAGGTTGTTGCAAATGGTAAGATTTTATTTTTTTTGATGGTGAAGTGATATTCCAGTGTGTGTGTGTGTGTGTGTGTGTGTGTGTGTGTGTGTGTGTGTGTGTTGTGTGTGTGAGATCACGTCGTCTTTATAAGAAAGTGACATTTTATATCTTTATTTAACAGGAATGGTTTTTAGGAAAAGCATTACATGATGAAGAATCTACAATAATTCACCATTATGCCTTTTCTGAAAATCCTACAATTTTTAAATATCCAGACTTTGCTGCTGGCTGGGCCCTTAGTATTCCACTTGTAAACAAGTAAGAACTTATTATAGACTTTGTGTGTGTGTGTGTGTGTGTGTGTGTGTGTGTGTGCGCGCGCGCGCGCGCGTGCATGCACATACAGGTCAACTTTTATTTCACGGAGTACGGTAATTGATGGATCTCAAGTGAGCTTTGCTGCTGGAGGCAGTGTGTGGTAGAGTGGGAAGACCTGGAGCAGGAGTCGATATCTGAGATTCTTGCTTCTGCTCTGTCACTTACTAGTTCCCTCAGACAGATTACTCAACCATTCTTTATTTTCTTTTCCTCACCTGCAATACAGTGAATAAGAAATTGGGGGCCCAATGGGAGGGCATATAAGTACTCTGAGAACTCTACCTACAGAGGTGTTATTACTATTATTAATGGATCTAGTTAGCTATAAGTATGCCTTTGATCATCAGTAAGAAAATGAATCAGTAAACATGTCCAGGGTGGGAGTTGATGGCAAATTATGTATGTCAATGTTTATGTTTCAACAGAGGCCAGACAAGAAGGACAGTTACCAGAGTCTCTGTAGATATCCATACCTAGCTATTTGTGTGTATAATTGCAATAATGCTTTTTTCAATGTGAAAAGTAAAGGTAATTAAGTTGTAATTCAGGAGAAATATGATTGTTGACAGACTCTTAATTCAAATGCTTCAGGTTAATTATTATGTTTTTTTTCTTTAGGGAATGGAAAGTTGATAAAACATTTGTGGCCTTTATATCATCAGAGATGGAAGGGCTTCTGTTATTTATTACATTAGATACACTGTTTCTAGGGTTTTGAGTCTTGGGAAACTTTATAGCCGATTGTAGAAATACAGCATAGTCGTACCTTGTCATTTGTGACTGGCCAACACTTATTGACTACTCCTTTGACATTTGAAAGTTTTTACAATATAAGACCCTGCTTCCCAATGTAGAATCCAGAAAAGGACAACAATAACACCTCCATGTTGTGTAGCCTTCCTTCCCAGTAGACAGCAGCTACATGAGGTAAGCTCTAATAGGTTGATGCACTGTGGAAAATGGTTTTTGGGAACTGAGTTATATGGAGAAAGAGACAACATATGCTGGTCCATTTGACTTGAGAGGTCATATTAGAGGAGGGGTCATTTGGAGGCTGGCAGCTGAGAATAGCTTCCTGATGATGGCAGAGGCCACAGCTCCTCAGCTACCCATTTCTGTAGTATAAATCTGGAGGTTGTCCTTGGAGTCTTAGCCTAGAATATCTTTATTCTGATTTTCCAGTAATCTGTGAGATATTATATGTATTAATGAGTCTACTTTGTGCTTGAACTGGCCAGAGTGGATTCTGTTATCTCCAACTAAAATGTGTGTTGGACCCATGGACCCATCCTGAGAATACCAGGCAGGGATGCCCTGCCCCCAGCCTATGCCAGACATGCCTAGGAGGGCCACACACTCTCTCTGCTCCATTCTTGGAAGGGTTGGGCAGGAGGGGAAGGGGAACTAGAAGAGAGAGTTGTTATTCCCTTCTTACCCTACACTGATTTGCCTGGCTCTGCTCTGCTGGAGTGAAGGGAAGATAATTGTTTCAGTAGCCCAGGGTCATCTTTATTCTCAAATTAATTAAGCTTGGGTTTGCTGCAGCTTGAAGACCAGGAGCCCCCAGGACGCTCTCTTCCCATTATGTCCAGAAGCCTTATGTTTGGGCCCAGTTCAGCTACCTCTGTTCTGTCTGGACTCTCCAGAGCCATGAGTGGCACATCCCAGCCCTGGTTGTTCCTTGTGCCTTACAGATTCTCACCCTGGCAGTGGCTTTCCTCTGGTCTGTCCTCACTCTCTATACTTAGCTTCATAGCCTGAAATTATGTGAGCTCACTTCTCTACAGAAGTTCTCGAGGTTCTGGTTTCTCTGACTTGGGGGTTATAAGCTCTTCCTAAGTCTACTTGTCTTCCATTTTCTGGAGAAACAAGTCCCTTGATAGAGGGACAGGTACAGCTATAATTTGTCTTGTGCAGTATTCTGAGCACAGATCCCACCTTCTTCTCCCAAGGTGGAAGAGAAACCCACGGACCTGCAAAGACCCCATTCAGTAAGCCTGGAATATAACTGTCTCTCTGAAGCCAGCATAACCCCTTTCTCCATTCTTCCCTTCTGATATAGGAGACCACTCATCCAGGAAACAAATCCTGTAGTTTAGAAAGTTTCACTTTTTCCATCCCGCATCCAGCAAAGACCTTGAAGGCTCCCTAATGCTGGATACAATTCACCTTTTACTGAGTTCAGTGTGATAAGGAACTTAATTATTGCTTTCCTTTTGACTTTTAAACCAAGTGGATGGAAGTAATCTGTGTTGGACAGATCTTTGACTCCTAGCATCCACTTAAAGGACAGTGTAGCCTAACTCATTGCTTGGCAGACAGGCAGTTCTCTTCTACAAAACCTCTTGGGTCTGTGAATTCTGCCTTCTGGCTTCACTGCTTATAAGCTGGAGAGGCAGCCAAAGTTCTGACAGGTTCTGTTGGCTCTGGCTTATGCTTGTCTTATAACTACCTCATGTTCACTATATGACTAACTGCCAGGGGCTTTGTGAATTGTGGCTGCAGTTTCTGTACTAGCCAAGGTATTCGTCTTATTGAGGGGAGACTGTGTTATGGATGATTTGGTGTTCCATAGATGTCACACCAGCACATGCTTCTCTTCTTGTCATCTTTACGAAGTCATTGAAAACATCTATTGATAAGTGCTGCTTACTGTCTTTATGGTCAAGCTTTGCAATATTTTCTACTGAGATATGGGAGAGGACTGAGGGCTTCATGTCATTGTGATATGGTATGTAAGGAACTTCATATGGGAATTGGGGCCAAAAGACTAATCTTTTGTATAAGTTTCAAAAATTTCCAGCAGTTCACCCATAACTCTGGCATGATAGAGGAACAAGGCACCAGTTAACCTTCTGCATTCAGTGTCATCTGATTTCATAACACTGAACGATTGCCAACAAACTGCACAATGTTTGTAGTTAATTAATATCCATGGTCTTCTCTGTGCTTCATCTCCCTTTTTCTGCAAGTGAAAACAATCCTGTTGTTGAAGATGCTGGTCCTCAATCTCTCATGCTTAGTACACAGCCTCCTGAAACCACATACAGCATCAGTTCATCCTAAATTTGGTTCCCCTTATTGATTTAAGGCAAAAAGGGCTACATGTTTTGTTTGTTTTTTGTTTCTTTGTTTATGTTCAGCAGTGGAGAACCTCTCTAACCATGGAATGTAAGTGCTATTCCTCAGTCACTAGTTGGATCTTATCTGATTGAAGTTGGTTGGGTCAACTTTAGGCAATACTAAATCCTGAACCATTAATGGTTACAGCGAATTTCAGTGCTTTGGTTAGGATCAAACTAATTCTGACCCTGAAGCCCATTTGTTGGGCTTAGTAATTAATCAAAATAAAAAGTCTCTTTTAGGGCATCCCGGGTGGCTCAGCGGTTTGGTGTGGCCTTCACCCGGGGTGTGATCCTGGAGACCTGGGATCGAGTCTGGCATTGGGCTCCCTGTATGGAGCCTGCTTCTTCCTCTGCCTGTGTCTTTGCCTCTCTCTATCTCTCATGAATAAATAAGTAAATAATCTTAAAAAAAGTCTCTTTTAAAAATTTTTTAATTTAAATTCAATTAGCCAACCTATAGTACATCATTAGTTTCAGATGTAGTGTTCAGTAATTCATCAGTTGCGTATAACACCCAGTGTTCATCACATCTCATGCCCTCCTTAATGCCCATCACCCGATTACCCCATCTCCTCACCCACTTCCCCTCTAAGAACCCTCAGCTTGTTTCCTAGAGTTAAGAGTCTCTCATGGTTTTTCTCTCTCTCTGAAGACTTCTCCTTCAGTTTTCCCTTCCTTCCCCTGTGATCCTCTGTGCTGTTTTATACTCCACGTATGAGTAATACCATATGATAATTATCTTTCCTGGTTTGATTTATTTTGCTTAGCATAATACCCTCTAGTTCCGTCCACATTGATGTAAGTGGTAAGTATTCATCCTTTCTGATGGCTGAGTACTATTCCATTATATATGTGTGTGTATACACACACACACACCACATCTTCTATATCCATTCATCTGTCCATGGACATCTTGGCTCTTTCTAGTTTGGCTATTGTGGACGTTGCTGCTTGGACATTGGGGGTGCAAGTGCCCCTTTGGATCACTACTTTTGTGTCTTTGGGGCCTGGTAGTGCATTGCTGGGTCACAAGGTAATTCTATTTTTAAGTTCTTGAGGAATCTCCATACCATTTTCCAGAGTGGCTGCACCAGCTTGCATTCCCACCAACAGTGTAAAAGGATTTCCCTTTCTCTGCACCCTCACCGTTTGTTGTTTCCTGTCTAGTTAATTTTAGCCATTTTGACTGGTGTAAGGTGATAGATATTTCATTGTTGTTTTGATTTATATTTCCCTGATGAGAAGTGATGCTGAGCATTTTTTTCATGTGTCTGTTGGCCAGGTGTAGGTATTCTTTGAAGACATGACTGTTCATATCTTCTGCCCATTTCTTGACTGGATTCTTAGGGGTTTTTTGGTGTTTGAGTTTGAAAAGTGCTTTATAGATCTTTGATACTAGCCCTTTATCTGATATGTCATTTGCAAATATCCTCTCCCATTCTGTAGGTTTCCTTTTAGTTTTTTTAGTTATTTCCTTTGGTGTGCAGAAGTTTTTTTTTTTATCTTGATGAAGTCCTAATAGTTAATTTTTGCTTTTGTTTCCCTTGCCTTTGGAGATGTGTCTTATGAGAAGTTGCTATGGCTGAAGTCACAAAGGGTTGCTGCCTGTGTTCTCCTCTAGGATTTTGATAGATTCCATCTCACATTTAGGTCTTTCATACATTTTGAGTTTATCTTTGTGTATGGAGTAAGAAAAAGGTCCAGTTTCATTCTTCTACACGTGGCTGTCCAATTTTCCCAGCACCAGCACCATTTACTGAAGAGACTGTCTTTTTTTCCATTGGATATTCTTAACTGCTTTGTTGAAGATTAGTT